TCGCTCAAGTTCAAACTTTTAACAAATTCGCAGTTTTTGCATGTGGTGGCGCCACAGTGATTCCTAACATGTTAAAACAACATGACTTTGGCAAATAAGTTGATATTACTTTGGCAGCTGCACAAACAAAGAACCTTTTAGTAAGCTGTTGTTCCTAGAGATAAAGTATGTGATAAATTAATTGGATGTGATATCGAGATAAATTAATTGGGCTTAGGGTCAGAGCCACTTGTACAGAAACCCTGCCCCCGAAACCCTGCCAAACGTAAACTTCACTTTTGAAGGAGTATAGCATTTCACATTTTATATTTCATTCACCTTGCTTCTTGCGTATTGGGGACAATTTTAGACTCTCCAGCTCTCGCGAGCTTGCATGACTATCTTCGTGTTATTTTCCGACAAAGCAGGGATAACAAGGGAGAACCTATCAATGGAAACAGTGTCACGAGAATGATATTTCCGATTTAAAAACACGAGTTCCGGAGCGTCGCTTTAGCGTTAAAAGCATTTTTATCCCGTTCAGTCAAACGAAACGGCAGGTTTATCGACTGCTGTGATGCCTAGTGGCGTTGGTGTAAGGAGCCGATGCAGTTTAAAAACAGTCTTCATTTGGGCTGTCCTCGTTGTCATTGCGTCAATTTTGTTTTTGTCGTTCAAGCTGAATATTATAGAACTGGGAAGGAACCTCCGCCGTCAAAGCAACATAAGAAGGACAAATAAATCAACTTTGCACATTCAGAAGTTTAACATGAGGGGGAATGATGTCATGGTTTTCGTGCACATACAAAAAACTGGAGGAACACAGTTTGGTCTTCAGCTAGTCAGGAACTTGGACATCGAGAGACCTTGTCAAAGACGGAGATTACAAATGTCACACAACATACGACGCAAAAAACGCTTCAAGTGCCTTAGACCAGGTTCCTCTAAAATTTGGCTGATTTCAAGACATCATCTAGGTTGGCCGTGTGGACTCCACGCGGATTGGACAGAAACCAAGGAATGTGTTTCGAGGTATATGAATTCACGTGAAGGGAAAAATGTAGACCGGACGTTCTTTTACGTAACAATAATTCGAGAACCTGTTTCACGATTCCTGAGCGAATTTTCATTCGTCCGCAATACTTCTTCGACGTGGAGCGGGGCTTCCCTTCGTTGCAACGGTCGCTCTCCATCAAGGGATGAACTTCCACCATGTTTCGCTGGAAAAAATCTCAGCGAAATTACGTTGAAAGATTTTATGGGATGTCCTTGGAATCTTGCTATTAACCGTCAAAGTAGAATGCTCGCTGATTTAAGGCTGGTAAACTGTTATGACACACGTGCAATGCCAAAGTCAAAACGGAATGAGATCATTTTGCAAAGTGCCAAAAGGAATCTTCAAAAAATGGCTTACTTTGCCCTCATGGAATACCAAGAAGAAAGTCAGTTTTTGTTTGAGAAGACTTTTGGGTTGAAATTTTTGACCCCCTTTAAGCAGGTGGGAAGTAACGAGACAAAGGCGGGGAAGCTTTTTCCAAAGCTGAACGATTCCGTCTTACAGGCAGTAAAACATTTGAACTCGCTTGATGTAGAACTTTATACGTTCGCCAAAAAGCTGTTTTTAAAACGTGTCAAAAATTTTAAAGACTCAGAAAGTAGAACCTAACGTCTACATTAAAACTGAATGTAGTAGTAGACATTTTGTTTCGTTGAAATTGTCTCGGTTAATGCTGTTTTTCTAGCCTGGCATGGGTTAGGCGTTGCGAGGGGAAAGAGGAAGAAGGAAGCGAAAAGTAAAGAAGGAAAACTCTTCTGCTCTTGCTTCTGAAGGAGACCTGATATTGTTTTTCCTCCTTAAATAAAAAAAAAATTAATAAGCAAGGTCTTAAATTTCTCAGAACCATAGGGTTTAAAGGAAGTATCCAAAAAGGAAGTTGATATATTTGCCGCCAAGAGTTGTTCCGTTCCACCAAATGACTAGCCGATTAGCGTGAGAGTGCGACTGTCTGGGAGTGCTATATTGTTTTGGCGGCGGAGCCACGAGAAGAGTGGGTAAAAATCACATTTTTTTAATGCTCAGTTTATTGGCTTATTTACCATCAGGGTACATACAATTGAGGAGCCCGAATTTGGAATTTCGAGAAGAGGAACAGGGGGCTTAAACCACCGGGACTTTCTTAACCAGTGTCTCCTGTGGAAGGGCCGAGGCGGGTAACTCCCATATGGAAGTGGCAGGAATAGTCGCCGTCTCGCTTCCATGTGCGACCACCTCTCGTCAGCGACCACCGCCCATAAGCGAACGCCAATCGAAAACACCAAAATTTCCTCCGTCAAAGCCCGTAAGCGACCATTTAATATTCGCATTTTAGGTGGTCCCTTACAGGATATTCGACTGTATATAAACTACATAAAGTTATCACTTGGGGTTGTACCAAAGGAATATCTAAAGAAAAATCTTTCTATTAAATTGTAAATGGGTCAAATAAAGCTTGAACCACGCCCAAATTGGTCTCCTTACGGGGAAATTCAAAATTTCCGATGAGTATCCCCGTCTCTTTCATATGGAGGAGTCCCCCTGGGAATTTCTTTTCTCCCTATTTGCCCGAATTCTAGCCCTCCCTCCCCACTCAAAGTGTTCTTGTCCTTTCCGTAAACGGTATGAATAAAATATATTCGTATGTGATCAATCCAAATCATACCGCGGAAATTTCGAATTTGGTCTGTAAAAGTGCGATTGAGGCAAGGTTTATTGTCGGGATTCCGAAATCGGAATTTTATTTGATATATCTGACATCTGATAATTTGTGAAATTTGGCCAAAAAAGTTTTATTAAGTATTACTTAAAAAGGATCTAAAAGAATGTTTCCGTGTAATCAGAATCAATATCAATATTTCATGAAACCGAAGTGCTTTTTATATTCTTTTTCTGGTAAAAGCACGTCCTTATCTTTATCTGATTCGATTTAATTACATTTCATTTTATTTAAATGGCTTATGTTACTTGGCTGAACTTTGCATATCAGTGAAGTGCGTCTTCACATTCTTTCATATTCCAGTCGTCGCGCCTGTCCGGTTATTTCAGCAACGAACGTATTTCAGCTCAGAGCTGAGAAGTGGTTTCTAGTGACTTCCATCATTGTACTCGTTAAATCTTGAACACGCAATGACATCTATGAAAGTGCTGCTATACTCAAGATGGGGCTATTTCCTCCAAATTGACGGGCAGCAAAGAATTCGTGGTGTAAGAACGAGGGACGACTATTGTGGTAAGAGAACAATGCGGCCGGAAATCTGACTTTGTGACTGTACTATACGTTATAATTACCTTATAATCGAATTTAATGGTGAAGTGTACAAACCTGCAGTGTTATCTGTACCAAACAATTGACCCATTCTGCTCATTTCAAACTGAAAGTGTTTATTACTCTTCCAGATTTAGAACTGAAAACGGTTGATTTTGGCAAGGTCACTATTCGAGGAGAGAAAACCAAAGCTTATGTTGCGGTGAATGCTCAAGGAGAGTTGTGCGTGGCAGTAAGTTTCTTTCAATAAAATTCAAATAAATGTAGAGGTTAAAGCCACAATTTATGCAGTTAATTAAACTCTCCGCGTGTGGTTGGCTTGCAATAGCACTCAGGTTAAGCTGTCTGGTTTCTTTCCGGAGATTTCAATCGTCATTTAGCGTTGAAGTACCCTGCGAGCAGAGTCTCCTTCGATCGCCTTACAAAATAAGATCGAAGGAGACTCTGCTCGCAGGGTAGCGCTGAAGCGAAAGAATATAAATTTTTACGTGATCTATTCTAAGAGTTATGTTGATGTTTTCAGTGTTATATTACTACTCTGCCAGCTTAATTTATCCATATATTGGCCTAGCTGAAACTGATTCGTCTATAGTTATCATAGTTGGTTAAAGCCATAAGAGGGCTTTCACCTTGATCCATATACTGATAACCAGTAGGGGCCACAACAGGAAGGGCTCCCTTAAAAAAATACTTTGAATGGGGACTTGAAATATCATATTGGGGTCGTACGTTTCTAAAAAAAAAGAAAAAGAAAATTGGGCAACGCGAGAAGCGTTGATGTTCTTGCTCTGCGGCCGGCGACCAGGTCTCCTAGGGCATTTCTCTTTAAACTGTGGTCTTGCTTTTCGGTGGGTGGGGGATTGAAAGACAAATAATGGATAATAATAGTCATCAATTGCCATCGTTAAAAAGTTCAAAAGACGACGTTTTGAGCGATAGCCCCTTACCACAGCGAATCGGTTTTTTTTTTGACGTGCAATCGAGTTGATGTAAAATGCATTTGCAGTTTTTACCCTTTTAAAAGGGAGCGGGAAAATGGAGTTTTATAAGGAGAGGTTCCGCCCCGAGGTCCAACCCCTCACCTGTTATATACCATTTTTGACAGACAAGGTACCCCTTTGATAGTTTGGTTTGGTCTTTTTACAGACCGAAATAACAGATTTCCCAACCCTTTAATATACTTCAACTAGTGAAACTGGGCTCCTGCCCTTTCATCATACACCTTACGCCTGAAAAAGGAACCCCTTTCGAGCGGAGCCTCGCCGTATTGGCCGTTGTAGGGAATACCTCCCGGCATTTTTCTTAACACAACCTATTATGACTAGCTAGTTCAGCCATCTTTGTTAGATAAAATAGTCTTTGTTTTGGTGCCGCCATTTTTAATGCCTAGAGGTTCCTGGGAACAAGGTTGTTAATAAAGTTTCTTTTGATCACAGGAAAGCACGAACCCGTCGTGTGTATGGATAGAGATTCAACACCTTGATGGATATAATTATTATCAGTCTGATCTGCACAACAAGTTCTACATGGGGTTAAAAAGGATTGGTGTTCCGAAGAGGCAAGAAAGAACCAGTGGGTTTTATTTACGCGTTGAGTGAACCTCTGTATTTAAAGGTTCTTTCTATATTATATTGGACAGGTGGGTTACCCCGGCTCCACCTCAGCGGATTACCTCAGCCCCTTAGGGTACCCCACCTCCATGAAAACTGACCCTAAGTGTGCCTTAAGTGTTCGTTCTCGAGAGATGTCAACCTTGTTTTCAGGGTCCACTTCTACTCGTCTCCCTCTCTATCTCATTTCGGCGAACGAGTAGAATAGGAACCAGGGAACGAGGCTGGAGAGATGTCCGCCGAATAGTTGTCCCCCGAGAATGCGAGAGAGAAGAAAATGACCACGCGTGTGTGACTGAGGGCTTCTCGCGGCTGGTCCGATCGCGCGCGCTTGCCATCTCACCATCTCTGATTCGGAGTCAAGGTAAAGTTTGCAGAAACACATGAACGAACTCTCGTTGACCTTTTAGTTCAACCTGAATAACATTGTTCCGTGCTACAAAAGGAGACTTAAATAGCTAGGCTAGTATTATGGGTTTCTAACTGTCCACCAAGCTAGACCACGGACCTCGGATCACAATGATTTCGATTCCCCCCTCTCCCTCTTACTAGCCTGAGCCAGACTCTCATCACAGGCGTCTCAAACTCAATATGTGAGTGCATGTTAAAAATTAATGCATCTGCTAATATTGCGTAACGTGGCGTTTTGTAGAGTTTATATGGGAAAAAAATATTGCCTTATCTTAATTAGCTTACCGTGTAGCAAAGAATTAAGATAAACGTACTTTTGCGGTATTTGGTGTTCCTGTGACGTTTTGAAACGTTTTGGGCTATAAAACGACACAGGAACAAACGAAAGTAAGTTTATTTTAATTCTCTGCTACACGATCGCGATAAGCTAAGATAAGGCGCTATTTTTTCTATTTTATTTTTCCCATATAAAACCCTATAAAACGCTACGTTATGCAATATTAGCAGATGCATATTTAATTTTTAACATGCTGTCACATAATTACTGAGTTTGGGATGCCTGTGCTCTCATACACTAGGGACGTGGCGAAACACCTAATCACCATTACGCTTGGTACATACGCTACTCTGGGACCAGGCCCCGCATTCGCCCCCCCCACCCCCCCCCCCCCCCCCCCCCCCCCCCCCCCCCGGGGGGACCCTCACGTTCTCCGGGGGCCCCCACGACCCTCTTACGGGGATCCCGTCTCAAAAACCCAAAACCCCCGGGTTTTTAAAAAAGCGACCGGTCAAAAACCCGGTGTGCTCCAATTAACTCTTTTTCTAACTT